TATTGTGGCAAATATAGAGATAGTCTTGTTTGCTGTACCTAGACCTACTCTATGTATTAGAGAAGGCGTTGGCTGCACGTAACTCGCCGGCGAATGGCGGAAGCCTTGCGTTCTGACTACGGCGGCGCATGCGCAATTACTAACGTGGCTATAATTAGAAATCACTAAAGTTATAAATATTAGTTGCGTATATTATTGCATAAATTGTGGTCACCTATCTCTAACAGTGACAGGTTGAATTTCAAACCACGACAGTTCAAAATCCGGTATCACAACAAACATATCCTGAAAATTTCAGCTAAATCGGTTCAGTAGTTTCCGAGTCTATAGGGGTGAAACAAACACACAAACATTGATTTTTATATATATAGATAAATGACTCAAAACTCCAAAGTATTGACCAAATCTAAAATAAGGAAAAATGTAAAACAGCAGTCAGCCAAACTTGCCGTTTTGCTAATTAGCAGGTTTAGAACTACCCCTCGTGCCAACGCCCTCGGTGAAACAACCGGTGTCGACGTACGCCAAATCAGATTGTATCTACCAATTTAAATCAAGGTGCTTATGTTGGCAGAACTAATCGACGCCTGGAGAAACGAGTCGCTGAGCATATTCTAGTATGGGTGAAAAAGCCATGCAAAAAACTATTCAAAATGAGAATAATGCCATAAAGATCACCCCTCCGGAATAACACACAATCTTCTAAAATCTGGACACGTGGTAACTAAGGACAACACATTTCAAATCCTTCAAACGTCAACCAATGGCAGAAGGCTGAGATTTCTTGAAACTTCCGTGATTCGTCACCTGCGCCCGGAACTCTGTATACAAAACATGTGAAAAACCCTTTTCACCTCTGAGGTATATCCGACACATGAGACAGTAAAAATGTTTCTGTAAACCAGTTGGCACTCGACATGAAAGGAGATCGCCTTTACCTCCCAGGACAGCGGAGGTTGGGTAGACCTGGGAGCCAAGTTTTTTTTTTTTTTTTTTTTAAATAATCGACGCGGTTCGAGCACCACAACATCGGACCGACAGGCGAGCGGCTAGTCACTGCACCACCACGGTATTTCAATCTAAAACAGGTGCCATAAAATGTCGTAAAGGTGCATTGGTGGCCGTGTGGCTGTATCATCTTTTCGGGGTGCTGCGTGGTCTCGAGGCATGGTGTCTGCCTCGAGTGCTAGAGGTTCCGGGTTCAATCCCTGGTAAGGACTGGGATTTTTTCACGTAGACCTGGACTTCTAGTAATTTCCCCTGGTCTCTGGGTTGTGAGATCAGGCGCCCTTGTGCATTCTTGCGCACGTAAAAAAAAATCCCTTGGCAGTTGGAAATCGAAAAGAGTTGCATAACGATGTTGCCCCAGCAAAATTTGGAGTTAAAAATCTCTAGCCAAAGTATTTCCGGATCCTCGCTGGTGCTATGGAGTTCATGCACTGTGCTGAGATTCTTCTGCCACAGAGAGCTACGCTGAAGAAATATAATAAACACAGCAAGGGGAAGACCATGTAACGATTCTTACATCTCCTCCCGACACCTCCCTGAGGTAAATGGTGGAAGAGAAGAAAAAGAAGATGACCCATTTAAGGCTGGGTCGACCTTTTTTTTTAAAGTTTGACTCCGCCAGGATCTGAACCCACAACCTTCAAAATCTGCAGGTGAGCACCTAGCTACTACACCATGGTGGCTTAACTCTAACTTAGTACTATCTTTAGGGGGGGGGGGGGGGGGGGGGGGACTGAAAGCAAAGAAAATTCCCCATGCGTGCAATGCTGAAATCTGAAAGAATGGGTCAGCATCGCTCTGTGGCTAAGAGGTTAGTGAAATCATTTCACAATGCATTCCTTGACATTGACCAGGGTTAGATTCCCACGGTTCAGAATAAGGACCATTCTCGTGCTTTTCAGAGACCAAGAATTACACTGTGGAAGAGAGTGAGGCCTCACCACATTACTGCTCCCTTAGACAGCAGGGCATACATTGCAGCTAACCTCCACCATGGAGATAGCATACATTGTTTATGTATCCTTCTTCTTTTTCATTCACCAGATCATTAACATTCATATCTGCTGTTAAGCACCATGGGAAGGGACAATTAACGATCTTTTGCTTGATGGGCAGCCAAGGTTTTTGTCTTAAATGTCATCAGTCCATCTTCTTCTAAGGCGACCTCTTGCTTTCACTTCAGATCTTTTCATGTTTAGTGCCTGTATTGGTACTTGTTCTGCCTGCCTTCTTACTAGATGACTAAACCGTCTATCTTCTGCTTCTCAATGAATCTGCTGCAATGGTGATGTTTCCAGTCTGTCTGATAATATCATTTCTCACTTTTTCATTAGGTATATATTGTATAGGTCTTCTTACAATTTCACTGCCATTCTCCTCTGACTGGTCACCAAAAACTGACACAATTTTACGTAAAAACACTTTATTTATACACTTTAACAATCATTTATTGCACATAAGGTCGTCTGTTTGTTACGTCATCGTAATTAAAAATCAAACAATCAGTCCAAAAAATATAAGGTGATGATTTTTGATAATTTGTAACAAATGTGGATTCTGCAAATTGTTTTTTTTTACAAGTGGCACTAATGTGTACATGCTGCCATTCTCTACCAATAAAATGCACTCTCACTGAAAATACCATTAAATAATAGTATTTACTGAAAAGACCACCAAATAATATTTTTCACTGAAAAGACCACCACATAATACTCTCCGCTGTAATGCCGCCAAATGAAACTCTTCACTGAAAAGACTATCAAATGATATTCCATACATGGACGAAAATATTGCTCTATGGCCTTTTCCACTGTAAAGAATACCCAATCTGGCAGCTCAAAGTAAGCTTATTAGTATGCATCGATAAAAGCTCCTACATAAGAGGATCCCAATTTTTTTTCTAAGCCCAAAATTAAGATATAAGTATTACATACACATACTCTGTGTGTAAGACAAACCCCTTTTATTTGCTGTCAAGGTCTACAATTTTTGTAATCATCTCTCTTTGTTCCGGGGCATGGAAATGAAATGAAAGAGCCGATAGATTGGCTGACTCTGTCAACCTTTGGATCACACCAACATTATTAATGTCCTTAGAGACAGAGAGGATGACTGGAGAACTCTGGAGGCAGTTTAGAGATATCCCTAATTAGAACAAAAGAGATGTTTGTAAAGACCAGCACTGCCAGGCACGAGAGCCACACCAGAGACATATGAGAAGTCTTGTCAACCATCACAGCCCTGGTACTATGAGCAACAGGACACTGAGCCCCTATGACCATATCCTGAGGGCATGAAAGTAGCTCAAATGGTAATTCATAACTCAAAGAGTACCAAACGATACCCTCTTGAAAATAAAATTACCAAATTGTTCTCTCCACTGCTCAGTAATGACCTCTTCAACATTGGAAAGATTAAGATCACAAAGAAACTAACCTGTAAGAAAAGAATACGGTGTACTAAAAATACTTGAGAGATGGCAATTTTCAATTTCAAGAATGTGAACACTTGAACCTTTTGTCCACAAGTGGGTTCTGGAGCTCCACTTTGGAGAACACCGACCGACTACGACACTCCCCCCCCCCCCTTCCCCCCGCCCACAACAAGCATGCTGTAAGAAACAACTAATAAGGGGTATTTCCTTCAAAGTTGGAGTGCATCTGTCTGCGAGACAAGGAACCAACAGTCTGCATTCAAATAAGCCAGAAATGTAAAAACAGGTGTGCATGCAACAGTCAAGTTCTGGATCAAGCCCAAAGTCCAGGAGTGGATGAATAACCAGAACTATCCACTGGAGTTTACAGCCGACAAACACGAATAGGAAGAACTTTCTGGGATACTCAAGAACTCTTCCTAATATGGCACACAGGTTCTCTTTTCTTCTGTAAATGTTTGGGGCACCCCTTCTACAATGGAGGTTGGCGGAGTGGATATGTGCACCCATTATGGGAATACTACATGGGTGGTGAGGCTCCTGTCCTTCCACAGTGTGAATCTCATACCACTGTCTGAAAGCCATGAGAACAATCTTTTTAGAAGTCACTCATTGCTAAAAATCTGGTGCAAGGAGATTGTGAAACAAAGTGGGTTTAGTCAGTTAGTCAACAGATTACCCTCACCACACATCAAACCATTCATTCCATTTATGGGCTTGCTTATTTGCAAGCTACAGAGCTGCACTTCTGTGTCACCTCCTACCAATAAAGCCAAAATATGAGATATTTTGAGGCAACTTAAATTTAAAAACTAGCACTTTTTCCCATGTATAAGAGGATATGTATTTTTTCGCCCAAAATAAAGAAATAAATATTGTAAACACATTTTGTGTCTACGACAAACCCTAACTTACATACTTTAAAAAAATCTGGGAAAACATATCATCAAAATATTCAGTCCTTCTGTCCATTTGATCTTTAGTGCTGGTGAGTGCTTTCCCTTGACTTTGTTTGATTGATCAGTTGGCTGAGTATATTTACCTAATGATTTCCTTGTGGTACTGAAAGGTATCTGAGGTTTTTCCTTTTGCTGCAGCTGTTTCCACTTCTTGTGTTCGGCCAATTGAATATTTCCTTTTATCTCCCTTATTCATCTCCAAACTTCATTAGCGTCCATGTATTTTCCTGAGCTCTATCTTTAGCAGCTTTAGTTTAGCTACTTTTAAGTCTGTCCTTTTACAGTTTCTTCATTATTAGCTGAAGAAACAAATGGCATTACTTTTGGAATGCCCATGTAATAAAACTGCATTAGGTCTAATGTGTATCATTCCCAAATATTTCCTATCACTGGAGGGAATCACACACACATAAAGAAGATATATTAATCATATATTAACAATGATCATATACAGACTATAAAATGTAACACAATGTTAGAGCTCTGATTTCATATTTCAACAGACATCTGGAATGTAGCACTGTTCAAAGGTCACCCTCTCCAGAGTAAGGGGTTGATGATGTTAGACTTCTTCACGTCTACCCTGTTCACACCGACTGCTACCTGCGCAGCTTTCTGGAGATAAAAAAAATATAAAAAAGTAACATCTTTCTGGATAAGAAAAATACAGAAAGATAACATTTTTTCTGCATAAGTAAAAAAAATTAAGTCAACAGCTTTTGGAACAAACAAAATAGAAAGACAACAGTTTTCTACATAAGTAAAAGAGAAAGTGAACAGCTTTATGGAGAAAAAAAAATACAGAAAGACAATAACTTTCTGGGAAAAAAAATAGAAAGACAAAAGCTTTCTACATTAGTAAAGGAGAAATTGAACAGCTATCTGGAGAAAAAAAAACAGAAAGACAACAAATTTCTAGAGACAAAAAATTTATGGAAAGTCAACAGCTTTCTGAAAATAAAAACCAGTGTTAAGAGCTTTCCAGAAAAGACAAATACAGAATGTCAACAACTTTCTAGAAAAGACAAATACAGAATGTCAACAGCTTTCCAAAAAGACAAATACAGAATGTCAACAGCTTTCCAGAAAAGACAAATACAGAATGTCAACAGTTTTTCCAGAAAAGACAAATACAGAATGTCAACAGCTTTCTAGAAAAGACAAATACAGAATGTCAACAGCTTTCTGGACAAGACAAATACAGAATGTCAACAGTTTTCTAGAAAAGACAAATACAGAATGTCAACAGCTTTCTAGAAAAGACAAATACAGAATGTCAGCTTTCTGGAAAAGACAAATACAGAATGTCAACAGCTTTCTGGACAAGACAAATACAGAATGTCAACAGTTTTCTAGAAAAGACAAATACAGAATGTCAACAGCTTTCTAGAAAAGACAAATACAGAATGTCAACAGCTTTCTAGAAAAGACAAATACAGAATGTCAACAGCTTTCTAGAAAAGACAAATACAGAATGTCAACAGCTTTCTGGACAAGACAAATACAGAATGTCAACAGCTTTCTGGACAAGACAAATACAGAATGTCAACAGCTTTCTAGAAAAGACAAATACAGAATGTCAGCTTTCTGGAAAAGACAAATACAGAATGTCAACAGCTTTCTGGACAAGACAAATACAGAATGTCAACAGTTTTCTAGAAAAGACAAATACAGAATGTCAACAGCTTTCTAGAAAAGACAAATACAGAATGTCAACAGCTTTCTAGAAAAGACAAATACAGAATGTCAGCTTTCTGGAAAAGACAAGAAGATATATCACATTAATTGTTAATTTATATGGTAGAAGCTAATTTAATTTAGAAGTCATTGTGCACTTGCTGCCAAGACAGTGGGTCTGAGTTCAATTCTCAACAGAAACAGGAATTTGTATTTAGCAGTATAATATGACTCTGGGTCAGCAGAGCCATACAAAAACAAAATCACCATGTACCTAATTTGTAGTGTAGTGTCCGCATACCTGGTAATTTTCCAGACTGAAGTGCCTTAAGTACCGCTCTTGCATCAGGCCAAAATTGTGAAAATGAGGATCATCACAGGTCATAGGCCCAAGACACAACAAAGAAAGATCACTAATACAGTACAATGATCAATGGGCCACTTGCTAGACCTCTGCAGGCCATATCTGGCCCTCTGGCCACCAGCTGAATAGCCCTGTTCTATAGGATGTGAACAAAGAAGGGAAACTGGCTCATAAATAGCATCATGACTGGGAACATTAAATACTAGGTCTATATAAAAAGCTTCAGCATGTTCCAACATAACTAGAATGTCTTTGCACTGGAACCTACAGGGGCACAGGAATAAGGCAGACCCAAAAAAAAAAAACATGGAGAAGGGAGCTGAAGAGAAACTAAAAAGATGGAGAAGACATGGTGGGAGCTGCATGCAACAGCATAAGATAGAACAACCTGGCATGAGTTGGTTGGGGGCCTATGCTCCACTAGGGGATAGAGAGCGGAAGGACGTTCCAAGTACAGTACTGGAAAGCATGTTTGAAATGGGAGATATTTTCACCCACATTAGGAAGGTTGGGGGGTATGCCCAAGGTTAACCCAAAACACTGAGATATTCCAGATACTTGGATTAAACGAGGTGTTCAAGATAGGTGATGACCACGAGTTATCACGGGTAACACGTTGACGCCTCCACAGGTCGCCACGTGGAAGTAAAGGACCACCACGTGTTGCCATGTGAAACTAACCCATGGTATAAGATCAGACTTGATTCTGATCAAGTTAGTTTGTGTCGACTTGTTAGAGCGAAAGGACGGGAGACTGCGCGTACGAATGTCAACGTGAGATTGCTTGTTGTGAAAGGAGAACCAGACGACTAAGTGTGAAGCCAGGAGTCTGTGTAATGTCCAGAAGATCAACCAGATACATCGATGCAGATTCTGGTCAGTGACTGCGTGAGGAACCTGCTTGTTGAAGTCTGCGTGATGTGGTGTGCGAAATTGTTTATTAGGACAATGACTAAACGCTGCTGTAAGTTTGAACATGTCAATAAACTAATGTTTCGTACGGCTAAGTCGGTGTCGGCTTGTACCCGTTATGTTAACGTAGAGTGTGTGATGAGAACATTCACGACAAACATAATAAACACCCACTACACAACGAGTGAGCGCATTGCAATGGTCCTTGAAAGAAGAGGCAGGGGTGATGCAGTATGGCAGTGGAAACAGGAAATTAGAGAACCCTGAGCAGAAAAATTAGTGAGGTAGAGGTATAGGTGAGGTTATGAGCCTGGTAGGTCATGACGGAAGTAAAGGAACTGAAACCTGACGATGAGTATCATCATTTTAGAAGTCAATAAAACTAAAGAACCTGCCACATAACGATGTTTTTAGAAGTCAATGCAAATAAAGGACCTCCTATGTGATGATGACGATGTTTTAGAAGTCAATAAAAAAAAAAAGGACCCCTATATGATGAGGATAGTGGTGTCTGTGGCTCAGGCGAGTCCAACTCATAATTCCAACGTACCACGATCGAAATCCACTGCTGGCTGCGTGGATTTTTATCATGGTATGGGGCGTCGCAGGTCGACCCAGCCTAAAATGGGTACCAGTATGGCTGTCCTGGGGAAGTAAAGACGGCCGGCATAATGCTGACCACATTACCCACCAAGTGCCGATTGGTCTGTAAAAATATAGGATGCTCTTCCCATATTGCCGATGCGCCTAAGGTGTGAAAAGGAATCTTTTTCTTTTTTCTTTATATGATGAGGATGTTTTAGAAGTCAATAATGTTAAAGAACCCCCTATTAGATGATGATGATGTTTTAGAAGTCAATAAAAATAAAGGACCAGCGTCATGAAGATGAGGATGTTTTCAGAAGTCAATAAAATAAAGGACCTGCTAAATGAGGATAATGTTTTACAAGGCAATAAATAAAGGACCTGTTCAGTGAAGACGATAATGTTAGAAGTCAATAAAAGTAAAGGAAATGCCATAGAACCGCTATATAAAAATGTTTTTAAAAATCAATAAAAGTAAAGTAAAGGACTCTTAAACCCCAGTAGCGAATGAAAAAGTAGAAGAAATAAAGTAGAAGAGATAAAGTAGAAGAGATACAGTAGAAGAGATACAGTAGAAGAGATTCATCAGAGGAGATACAGTAGTGGAGATACAGTAGAGGAGATAAAGTAGAAGAAATAAAGTAAAAGAGATAAAGTAGAAGACATACAGTAAAAGAGATAAAGTAGAAGAGGTACAGTAGAGGAGATAAAGTAGAGGAGATAAAGTAGAAGAGATAAAGTAGAAGAGATAAAGTAGAAGAGATGGAGATAAAGTAGAAGAGATAAAGGAGAAGAGATACAGTAGAAGAGATCAAGTAGAGGAGATAAACTAGAAGAGATAAAGTAGAAGACAGGATAATAAATACAGAGTTTAATTTAGACCCCTATTTCCACTAAACCTACACATCGGGCATCAGTGAAAACCATGATGAGGTAGAAGACGGGAGAATAAGACTTTCTTTCACTACCCTGGTCAAAGCCGGGCAATTAAATCTAGTAAATAATACAATTGAGATTCATACCTCCTTCTGTGGCTGATGTATGTAATAACGCAGTGTACCAACAATGGCCACACGAAAATTATGAGCGCTGACTTGACAGACAGATCAGGAAATGGCCACCAGCTCTGGGAAATATAAATATACACCAATGCACACACATAAACACACCTAATGGAATGTAATGTTATATTATCACAATCGATACTACTGCATATTTGGTATACATGCTCAGTCCTCCAATTTAGCAGCCACTCAAAGATGTCTTTACTGACTGTCCCCTTGAAGAAATGGTTATAATGTCTCCTATCTCTGCCTCAAAGGTGAAAAATATTATGTTGTTATGATGATAAATGTCACTGCACATCTGGCATTCCCATGCATGCTCTGTCCTACAATGCAGCAGCCATTCCCAGTACCTCATCTGATTGTCTCCTTGAGGTCTCCTATCTCAGCCTGCGGGGCGGAAAATGTTATGTTATGATATCGATCAATGTCAGTCCACATCAGGTATTCCCATGCATGCTCAGTCCTTCAATGCAGCAGCCATTCCCAGTACCTCATCTGATTGTCTCCTTGAGGTCTCCTATCTCAGCCTGCGGGGTGGAAAATTGTATGTTATGATGATGATGATCAATGTCACAGCACTTAAGGGATTTCCATGACTACTGAGTCTTCTGACTCAGTGATCATCCCAAGGTATCTCTGCTAAATGTTTCCATATAAAGCTGGTTGTAATATCTCCATTCTTGACCTCAAAGATAGCTTATCTGAGTCATCTAGGTAAATATTCAACATCCTAGCATTCAGGACAAGCCCATATTAGCTCCCTCTCCAACCTCAACCGCCAGCAAACTCATGGTACCTACTGTCACCTGGTTAACTACTTGTTTTTCCTCTCCCCCATTTTTTTTAGTAGTGTCCAGAGCCCTGTGACGCTTCCTGCTGCATCATTCTCTCCAATGGGTTCAATATCTGTTTTTTTTTTTGTGTGTGTGGCATAAGTTTAGATTTGTGCCCAAATTTTTGAAAATTAAAATTTGGGAGTCATACATAGAATGTTGGAATTAAATATTCACACACAAAAATACATGCTGCTATAAATATTCTTTCCTCTCAGACTCCCTTCACAACAAACCTTGGTCCAGTACTTCCTCCCCAGCCCCCCCCCCCCCCCCCCCCCCCCCCCCCCCCCCCCCCAACTCCAGACTTTGTACTTTTCACCTTGTTCCCTCAGCCACACCTGCCTAACCAGACCCCCAACCCCTCCTTTCCCGCACCCCTTTTCCCACCATCATTAGACAGAAAGCCGCCATTGTTTGACAGAAAGCCGTCATCGTTAGATAGAAAGCCGCCATTGTCAGACAGAAAGCCACCATCATTAGACAGTAAGCCACCATCGCCAGACAAAAAGCAACCATCGTTAGACAGAAAGCTCCTATTGTTAGACAGAAAGCCACCATCATCAGAGAGAAAGCCACCATCATTAGACATAAAGCCACCATTGTTAGACAGAAAGCCACCATCGTTGGACCGAAATCCACCATCGTTAGACAGAAAGCCACCTTCATTAGACAGAAAGCCACCTTTGTTAGACACATTGTGGATTCCAGGGCTCCAGTGTGGGGTGAAAAAGAACAGACTCACCGTTAACTAACAGGCATGATGCAAGAGTTTAATCAGGGGTTTCCTTTGAAGTCGGAGGGCATCTGCCTGAGAGGCAAGGAACCAATAGTCTGCACACAAATAAACCAGGTCGGTAAAAAGAATGTACATGCAAAACTCAGGTTCCGAAACAAGACTAAAATCCGGAAGTGGCTGAACAACCAACCAGAGCTTTCTGTCGAAGCTTGCAACTGGTAGGAAGGAAAGGAAGGAATAAACTTGAAAGCTTGGTGACAGCTGACAAACTAGATGGGGAAAAAAGTAAGGGGAAGACACAGAGAGAAACATCTAGAGTCTGGCCATACAGATGGGACAAGACAATAGCAATGACTTGATCCATGATTCTGGTGATCACATGAGACAGCACACCCTGATCATAGATGTATCAGCAAGGCACATGACTAGAGGGGGCCGCTGTGGGGTAGTGGCCAGATGCTTGCCTGTGGATCCGAAAGTCATGGGATCAAATCCAAATGAAGTAAGACTTTCTTCAAAAATGACCCTGGCTTCCAGGTCTGCCCAGGCTCAAAAGGGTACCAGGTAAATTCCTGGGAAGTATAGGTGGCCTTATGATGTTGACTATACCACTCACTGAGTGACAACTGGTCTATAAAATATGTCTAGCCTTATACACCCAATATGCCAAAAGTTGTAGAAAATGGTCCTTTTTTTTTGATTATGAGCTTTCATAACGACCTTATCTGAGAAGGCTAGATGTAAAAAGTATTAACCTAAGTTCAGGGGGAAGAATGCCATTCTTTTTTTCTCTCTCTCTCTCTCTCTCGTTCTGCAAAAATTAACTCAATACTATGAAATGAACCTGGTCTGGTTCAGCAGGAGACAAAACACAACTTCTGATCTACTCCGAACCACATACCCCCTTCACCTCCGAACAACTACTAACGTTTATACTAATGTATTACTTCAAGCCTTCTGCAATTACAAATATATTTTGATATGTCACTTACCTTTCTTATCTTGACTGTCTTTTCTTTATCCTGTGAACAGAAGCAATTAGTGAGAGAACAAGTGATATATAGAAACACTCTTGATCCAGCATACTATACATGACCAAACATCCATACAATGTTCAATTAAGATCGACATCACAGCACTTGGGACATCATAAGCGCGCTGCCCCCGTCTTTGGCAGCAAACGAAGCGTTCAAATTCCAATGGCATCAGTAACTGTCTGACTGTATATCCGTCTCGCCCTTCCTCTGAGTGTTAAGCGTCTGCCAGACCCCCTGGTAACTCCCCACAGCACCATTCTCCTCAAACCGTAATGATCTATCTGTGCCACAGTGCTGTTCACTCGCTCTCAAAGGGCCCTCACAATATCCAGCTTGTCATACATCAATTCACCCCCATCTGCCTGCTCATTTCCCAACACACCAGCATAACCTGGAGAAAGTATCCAAAGGACGCTAACTTCCTGGGACCTTCGAAGTGATGCTTGCCACTCTGCACGGAGCATGCCTAGCTCCACCTTTCTAAACATGCTCTGAGACATGCTCTCAGTAAAACAAAATTCATGAGATGGTTTGGCCATCTGATGAGAAAACCCTAGTACCACTTGTGATAGAGATCCGTTCTGAAGAAAGATAATGAATACTAAGCATTGTGGAAAACAATGCAAGAGAGAATGACGGCATCAGGAACCTTAAATAAAGAAAGAAACAACTTGGAGACATAAGAAAGACAATGCTTACATCTCCTCCATCCTTTCTTTCACCTTGTAACTTGAGCAAGATAAGAATACAACTCACCTTTTTTCCTTCTTTAACCAGAGCCTCAAGACTGTTTAACCGGTTCAACACACCACCCATATCATGCTGTAACCGCAGCAGAGTCACCACAATCTGCTCGTTCAGGTCTGTTGGGCTCATGTTTCCACCGGTGCCAGCTCCCCTCCAGCCACCTCCACCGCCGGGTCCAGAAAAGAAATCGCGATGACCGCCACCTCCTGGGTTACTTCCTCCAGCTTCACCTAATTAGCAATGTCAAAGGTCATGAGGCAAGGGGAAACAGTACAATAAAACAAACTCAACTCAACATTACCTGCAGCAAAGTTGTGTTAACATAAACTCAATTAAGAAGAACATTCAGTTAACATGAACAAAATTTTAGTACCAGCTGGGATATATTTTTATTAGTCTCTAGTTAACACCTACTTTAAATATGAACCTCAGGTTTTTCGGTTTTTCATGTTAACAAAGGTTTACTGCAATCAAAAAGAAAAAGCAATGAATTCCTTTTTTTAATGCCACTATCCGTCCTAATAAGGGGCACAATCTGTCATTATTTTGTAGACTCCCCCTTGGTGTTGATGGAGACCCTAATGTAACCAACATGATTTTTAGGACTTGTACCTAGGGAGATTCTCGTCCACAGGTGGCACTTTGTGTCACAGTGGGTTAGCTGCACATCAAGCATGAGTTGAGCTGAGCTGAGTCAAAAATTCACATCACAGCACTCGGGGCATTCCCATGCATGCTCCGTCCTCATCTTCAGCAGCCAGCGCAGAGTTCCCAATACTGATGGTACCGGTCACAATCTGGTTATATGTCCACCTTGCGTTTCCTCTAAGTGTAGTCAGCCGGCTAGACCTTCTGGTTACCCCCAGGTGCCTTATTCTCTCCAGGCCACGTTAGAATCACATTTCTATAGACCTATCTGCCCTGGAACTGCGATGTCGTGAACATCTCTTCCTAGAACATTGCCTGGCACCTATTTAAAGCCGGAGTCGATCTGGCAGCCGAGGTCAATTATGACAAATATCGAAATCAAGGCAAAAATCTGGGTGGTGAGTGTCAAGCCACCAAGGCAACCCCAGATTCAGTAATAACTAAACACAAAAGTAATCTATCAGGTAATCGCAGTTACAATTTAATAGCAAACAGGTCACCCTACAGTTGCTCCGTTCCTGCACACAAACACAAACTCTAACTCACAGAATGTCCATCACTGTCCCTTGTGAAATAAAAAAAACACTGAAGCAGACTGCAGTGTCAGCAAAGACAAAAACATACACACACACATTTAATGTTTAAGGCAACCATCAGAAGTTCTGACGCAAATAGGCCAACACTAGAAATTCAGTTTTCAGTGTAGATTAAAGCAGCAGTTACAAGAGATCAGTAGTTGCACATACAATTAATTACATTAAGCACCACCAGTTCTCCGGCAACAGGCCACTGGTCATTTTCTGAATCTGTAGTTCACAACAAAAATTCCTTTTAGCAGTCAAAAAGCATTTTAAATGAAATCCACAGCTCACAGTGTCAAACAATGCACTCAACTCATTAATTGGGTGATAGAACTATACATTCTCAGTCCACATATAGAGGAAAATGCAACAGTAAAATGACAAGAAACAAATAAACTGCCTAGACAAAAATGGTTGACCTGCCTATCTGCCATACTAGACTGCTCCGGTTTATAAAAACACCTCAATGAAATTTCAAAATTACAACAATCAGGCAAGTGTGCTGGTCACTGTGTAAATACTGCATCCTGATTACCATTACCATAGAGGCTGCATGGTCTCGAGGCATGGTGTCTGCCTCAAGTGCTAGAGGTCTCAAATTTAAGCCCGGTGAAGGCTGGCATTTTTTCACGTAGACTTCTAGTCATTTCCCCTAGTCTCTGGGTAGTAAGACCAGATGCCCATGTGTATTGTTGCGCATGTAAAAAAATCTCTTGGCAGTTTGAAATCAAAAAGAGTAGCATAATGGCTCTGCCGGGAAAAATTTTGAGTTTAAAATCTACACAGAGTATTTCAGGATCCTGGCCACAGCAACGGAGTTCATGCACTGCACTGAGATTCTTCAGACACGCTTGAGTAAGAAGAAGACCGGAGCACTTATGGGTTACACCTGTGTGCCATGATGTTGATTCGTTGGAAATACATGAACACAAACAAACAAAAATATATCTTTATCCCTCACCCACACTCGACAGCAAGTTACTTTTGTAACCAAGCTGGAATCTTTCTGTCTTTCCATACAACAGTGTTATGTTTAAATAAGAGAAGTAATGGGACTCACAGCCTATTGTCATAGCGAGTGTGACTAGAGGACCTACCTGTGTTAAGAAAAGTCTGTCAATTACAGAACTGATTTCAGGACTCTTGTTGAGGTACACCAATTGACAAGGACTTATAACTCATAGCTGATGCCTCTGGATTTGTTTCCGCGACCAGTTAAAGCAAGCGATAAAGTTCTACTCTCCATAGCAAAAACATTGGGAAGTATTGTACTGACCATGTGTTGACTACGCATCCTGATCCTTCAGCCTGCATTGTTTGCTTTAAAGGAAAGGTAACACTAATATATTTTTAACAAAGCAGGCTGCAGAAGCTGCCGGATCAGAACAGCAGCGCTCTGACTGTTCGCCTGTCAGAGCTTCCTTCCAAGACCAGCTGCCAGCCAAGGTTAAGGTCTAGTCTGCTCTGCCATAACACAAAGTTTTCACGTTGCATTTCCTCTTCCCAGGATAAGGCCAGTATCCTGCCCAATGCGCTCTTTTGTCTGAAGCCGTAGGCTCAATGTGGGATGTCAACACTGGTATATACCATTCCAATATAATAGTTTCACATGGTCAAATGGGGTGTCTGGGATTTTCCCCCCTGTTGGGTCACATCATAAAGATGTCTCTCTTTGTTCCAATGCCTGTCAATCTTTCAAGCTGCCAATCCAGAGGTGAAATTTAAAATAGAAAACCTACATATTAAAAGATTGACACTCACCACTACCACTGTGAGAGTCCCTGCCTGCTGAGTCGCCTCCTTCTCTGGCCCCCTGCCCTCCCCCTAACCTCCTTCTGTCTCTGCCAGGTTCATCTCCACCCCTGCATATCAGAATGTCCATTTCATCAGCATGGGTTGGGTCAGATAAGGCCACAGCAGGCAAACTGTCCACCAGCTGGACATCTACTGGCTGGACATCTACTGGCTGGATATCTACTGGCTGGACATCTATTGGCTGGACATCAACTGGCTGGACATCAACTGGCTGTTCATCAACTGGATGGACATCATCTGGTGGGTCAGAAATTTGTGCATCCCCCTCAGCAGAATTTTGAACAAGGCTGTCTGCTGTATCAAAGTCCACTTTCCTGAGGTTGAAATGAACAGACTTCCCACCATTAGCAGGAGCTGTTTTTGAGGACTTTTCTGCCAACGGTGGAAGGCAACTGACGAATGCATGAGAAGATGAAGGAATGGCCAGCTGAGGAGAAATTAGGCAAGCTAAGTCAAGTTTTATGCCAATGACACATGAGGCATATGATGCCAGACTCATACATTTAACAGAACAATTTGGCAAACTGGTGGGTAAAATGGTTCAACATCATCCTGACTGCCTTTACAACTCAGGACATTATCTGAAATCCATTTCATGCTGGTCTCATTTAAGAGCCAAGGTCTTTGCAGATCCAAGACCTTCGGGATCAGCAGGTGAGCATCTAGTGATTAAGCTACTGCAGTTCTCATGTAAGGTAATTCAAGTAACAAGATTGTCCCTTCAAAGACAAGACTTTATTTTTTTTTTACATATAACCAAGCCTAGCATCTTCTTCTTCTCAAAGTCTATGTCGTGTGGTGTTAGTAGTCATGTCTTTCCACAACCTTCTGTCTTGTTTACTTTCAATCAACTCTGACACAGATGATTCTCCACGCCATGATGTCAAACTGTTCAGCATTTTCTCTCTCAGTCCCCCTCTGCCTCTCCTCCTCTCCAAATTTCCTAATGTCATGATATAACCCAGTTTTCTCCTAGTCATCACATGATCAAAGAACGTAGATGGTCTCCTTCTGAAGTGGGCAATCAGTACTCTTCGTGAGTCAGTTTCTTTCAAGACATCTTCATTGCTCTAGTATAGTTCTACACAAAACAAGTTTACTACACAAAACAAGCTTACTACACAAAACAAGCTTACTTACACACAAAAAACTTACTACACAAAACAAGCTTACTACACAAAACAAGCTTACTACCCAAAATAAGCTTACTACACAAAACAAGCTTACTACACAAAATAAGCTTACTACACAAAACAAGCTTACTACACAAAACAAGCTTACTACACAAAACAAGCTTACTACACAAAACAAGCTTAGAATACTGTGACTGACTGGCCTGCAATAAATATATTATTTGCAAATAAATAAATTACTGATCATTCTATTTAATTAGTTTATATTTCTTCCCCTATATTTCATTTCATAATTGGTGCCCTTCATAACCTGATAGACTGCCAAAATACTCTGCTGTATCTGCATCACTTCCTTTCCATTCACTGAGCTTTCTAGTCAGTCTGTGTTGTATTTAGCACTTCTTGGCAAAAGCAGCATATTTGAGCAAATCAAAGATATCACTTAGAATAATACAATAATTCACCTATCATAGTCTACACTAGACTTCCTTTAGCCGCACTTCAATCCTACAATCCAAGCCCCATCGTGTTGGTAATCATGTCTGTCTCAAGTACTGTCCAACATTTTTGAAACATATTTATTTTCATGCCGCCGGGCCAGACAGTGCCCCTTCTTCTCCATTAGTAGCCCTTCACCTTCTTTCCATTTTAACTTTCCTGCTGTACTCAAGATTTCCCATGATGATGACACAGCCAAATTTAAATAATGTGGACATAAACAACATATCGCCAGGCATATTTTGCTGTATCATATTGGATGTTTTACTAACGAGTTATGTCAAAGTATAATAAAGCACATACAAAAAACATTAATTTCCCTGAACTACACATTACGCTGGATACGCTATTCATCTAATCACCACAAATTCACGAGTCACATGACTTACCAGGTGTAACTTCCAATGTATAATTAACTCCTGTTTACATAACATTTAATTACTTTTGACCTACAGATTTCCTTCTCCTTCACTTCTTTCTTTACTGCTTCGGGAGATATAAAGTTCAGCTTCTTGCTCTTCTAGCTGCCTCAACCACAGACATATCATACTGTCAAAGAGTTTTTCTGATGAAATCTTTCCATCTTGCAATTTCCCCTGGTCTCTGGGTAGTGAGATTGGACGCCCGTGTGCATTGTCGCGCTCGTAAAATTACTTGGCAGTTGGAAATAGAAAAGAGTATCCTAACGCCGTTGCCTGGGCAGAATCTGGAGTTAAAAATCTTCTCAAAGTATTTTGGGATCCTCGCTGGTGCTGCAGAGCCTGCGCACTGTGCTGAGTTTTTTTTTTACTCCGACTTGGATTATGGGTTACTACCCATGTGCCATGATGTTGATCCGTTGTTCAAAACCTCAAACCATCTTGTTCTGGGTCCACTTTATGATCCATATTCCTCTCCTATAATGGACAGACCTTGTATGGTCTGGTGTCACAAGTGGGCAAATGATTTGATCTCATATGTTTGTTTCTTTTGTATTTAATTTAGTACTAGTTTTTCTATGCCAACTTTTATTATTTTGTTCCTGATTTATCTCTTCTGGTCACAATCCTGCACCCTTTCCAAGATATCTCATTTGCAGTTACTAGTTCTACAAATTTCCTAGTGATATGAAAGCTCCCCTGGCTCCTTTCATGCATGTTTCTATAACCTTCTATAAGAATTAAAGATCCCTTTACATGCCAGTGGCACATCGGGCATGTGAGGACACTTTCTTAGGACCCTTTTCTAGCGACTACGGTGTTCGGCAATTTGCGGCCTTTTGGCAATTTCCGTTACCATGGAAACCGTTCGAAACTTGTTTGGGAAATGTCGGCTGGGGTTTTGGGATGGGTCCTAATCTCTCATGAAATTTTGGGATTGGTGTGGTTTTCACCAGTATAAATAGCTGAACCCGATTAACAGCGCATGTCTACGACAGCCAGAAGTCCTCTGTTTTTCTGTTACATCAGTTTTATTAAAAATAGCGATAAGTATTCAAGGTTGGTGTTAGGCTTTAACATTACTCGTACTGGTAATGCTGGTTATAATTAAATTCTCCGTCCAATTTTACATTTGTATATAAAATTTCTTTCGTATCAGTGGCTTTTTAGATTTACAGTGACTTTTTCCGGCAATCGCTATTATCATGCTGTGAAAATAGCAGTAAGTATGAATTCAAGGTTGGTGTTAGACTTTAACATTACTCGTACTGGTAATGCTAGTTATAATTGAATTCTCCGTCCAATTTTACATTTGTATATAAAATTTCTTTCTTATCAGTGGCTTTTTAGATTTACATTGACATTTTTTAGGCAATCGCTATTATGTGGCTGTGTCTCATTGTCTGCCATCTTGTCCAATGCAAACAAAGCCAAAACGATAAGTGCGCAGTTTGGTTGCGCAGAGAAAACTTCTTGTTTCACAGACGCAAGTTTTCAACAGCTGTTTTTTACATCTTATCTCCACAAAAACCTACATATCTCAGCTCAGAAATGACATACATGGCTAAATGAGGTACCGTTGGAAAGAGATTGTTTACAGCTATCTAACTGTGCTGGTTTTATTGGTGTAGAGGGCATTTTGAAAATTTGACTAACGTATCTCTTTTCCATGCCTTTAAGCATACTGGGAATACAGGGCTAGTCCTAAGATGATTCGGCACTTCTGGGTGATTTGGTCAGCATCATGCCAGGTGCCTTAACTTCCCAGGACTTTACCTGGAACTCATTTGAGACTGGGTCGACCTGGGAGCCACGATCATGTTTAATGAAAAAGAAAATTGGTTCCATGCAGATCTGATCTCTTAACCTTTGGATCCATAGGCGAGTGTCTAGCCACTATAGTCTTTACCATGGTGACTCAAAAACTTGCTTTTCGGAACCTTGGATAGTCACCTACATACTACAGGCGATGTCCATGGTGACATGGTCAAGCCATTCGCCTCATATTCTGAAGGTCAGGGGTTCATTCCAAGGACTGCATAGTTCTGTTTATGAGTACAATTTTTATGGAGAAAGAATCCTGGGGATCATCACTGCTGCTACGGACTAAGTGGTTTGTGTGACACCTTTGCTAGGCCGCAAGTCGTTCTGCGTGATTTGTTATGTAGGTCAGTACAATTTGCCACTATTGCTACCCCTAACCCTCTCACCCCAGGAACACTCAAATAAATGGATCATGACCCCGCTGATATTCCTGAAAAGAAAATCCTTTGAAAAACAATCATTTTACACAAGTCACTAATAAATTTGTTGAAAACATTTGATCTATATTATATAATTTATTCCGTATATATATACATATATATGAAGGGGGAATTATTAAACACAAACAGATTGAAACACTAATCAGAATACATTTACCCAGGGCTTAAAAGACATATGCATCGAGTGGTTAATGTCATGACCTCAACCAATGAGGCTTATAAGAAAACTAATGTCAACCTGGCATTAAAAACACTTTTTGGCTTAACAGAGATGAGCTGTATGTAAAATGTGTTCATCTTCTTCTTCGTTCATCCTAAGATGTAAATGTGCTGTACCCCGTTTACAACATGGCTGCGACATTTGCACCTTTTGGTTGACACATCTTATTTCGGCAGGCATTCGTTGTGCAGATAAGCCTTCAAGAGTATGAGATACAATCTGGTGCAATGAAGCCAGCCCTCTTTCAAAGAAATAAAAAAAAAAAAACATCCTACCTCTACAGGGTCGTCAGACGTATCACAAAACTCTTCAGTCTCCGACTCAGTTTCTCCAGAAGAATCTGAGTGACTGACCGACAGTCTTGATTCATCCAACTGCCCCCATCTTTCACAACTGACACTGCCAGCATTCACTTCCATCAGAAAATGTTTCTGTCTATCATGTTCATCTCTATCATCAGCTTCATCGTCGTCATCTTCGTCGTCATCATCATCTCTATCATCATCCTCAGACTCGATGTGCTCAATTGATCTGCCATTTTCCTTTCGCTCTAATCTTTGGCCGTGACCTTTAAAAACAGAAAGTTGTGATGTTAATTTGGAAAGCTTGTTTTTAATGACAAAAATGTGCTATCAGCTACACAAAGAAATTTGAACAAAGAAGACACAAACAGGAGATTGCACAATTTATTGCCAGGCATATTTCACTTTATCTCATCAGGTGCACACTACAGAAGCAATTGATTAAAATGAAGCAAATAAATATATCCTTTGAACTGAAACACAAAATACGACAACAGTCAAAAACAGCCAGTTTCACCAAGTTAAACACAAGGTGAAGAGCATGTCTTTTTGTCTGCATAATTCTGGATTAACGCAGTTTATTGCGGTTGCTTCCACAAATCTCTGTAATCTACGGTTGCCCGAAGTGTAAATAATTTGAAATGCATTTTCCTTGTTTATAATGTGCCCAGAGTAACAAATGAGACACACAATGGCTGAGGAGGGATTTTTTCGACCAGTCATCTGATTCGTTGTTGTTGTTGTGTTTTTTTGCACTGCATTTACTTTTGTTTGTGTCTTCTTTGTTCAAATTCCCAATGGCATAACATAGCTTTGATTTAAACAAAGAAAGTTCAACTCAAAGCATTTGAAAAAAGTAAAAGTGAAGGACTCTTTTCTAACCACTGGCACAATGGGCATATGGTGCTAAAGGTCCTGAAGGAGTTATATATTTTTTATTTTAAATGACCTTGGCTCCCAGGTCGACCCAGCTTAAACAGGTACAGGTAAAGTCCTGGGAAGTAAAGGCAGTCTGCGTGATGCTGACCACATCACAAACCAATTGCTAACTGGTCTATAAAATATTGGTCTAGCCATACATGCCCAATACGCCTGAAAATGTGGAAAAAGGTCCGTTGGTCTGGCCATTGTCTGATTCCTGCCCAGCAACAAAATGGTTGACACTTCTGGGAACAGATTTGATCGAATTTGCTCTTTAGACAGTTGCAATCCCCTGCTGATGAGATCTGTTTCGACCCAAGTGGGCCACCGCGATCAAAACATTTCTTACCACGGCTGCACCCTTCAGTTCACGAGTGCAATTTTTATGCAGATCCCTGGGGATCGTTCCTATAGCTACAAAGTTTGTGTCCTGCGCTGAGTTTTTGCTCTGAGAGGCACTCTCGGCAGGCGGCTAGCCGTTAGCGGAGAGAGATAGAGCCATATGGGATTAAACCTGGTGCGATAAAGTCGATCCTCTTGATTTTAAACTTTAACGACACACGCTGCTCCCATGAAAAATACATAGTATCCTGCGTTGGAAATGCGCACAAAATAGCAATCTATGATAAGGAAAGAGAACAATCTGAGAGAAATCACAACCAGCAAAAACAAAACACTGCTGCTCTTCGCCATTTTTAAAACAGAAGTGTATCCTATTGTAAACTTTGTTGAACAGCCTGCAACAGAAGCTCCATCACCTTCAGCAAATGGTGTTAGACGCTAACTGTTCCCACAGAATACTAATTATACACACATCATTCTCTTCTTCTTATACATCTCTCTCTGCCAGACCCACACATAATTCCCTGTTCAGTTGAGTTGATTCAAGAACCAACATCCCAGCTCTCGGGGCATTCCCATAAGCGATCCATCCCCATCTTCAGCAGCCAGTGTAGAATTCTGATACTAATGGTGCCAGTAGCATTCTGATTAAACATCCGTCTTTCCTTTCCTCTGAGCCTCAAACATCTGCCAGAACCCCTCGTCACTCCCCGCTGCATCAATCTCACCAGACTGTGGTGATCCATCTGCTTCTCTGAACTGTACACGCTGTCCGACAAGGCACTAACTTCCCCGTTAAAACATTCTTGAACGTGTTATTTTAGCTAACCTTGTGTCTTCTATCGGCATTCGTTCATAAATGGTCTTCAGTATATTTTCTTTGTCCAGCACGAATGTTCCTGCAGCTATCGCTTTTGTAGCCTAAAATTCCACTTTTTATTCCAAAAGTATTTCCACGTGCTGTTGATGTGCTGATGCTTGGTATCCACTTATGCCACATTTGTCCATTCTGAACCTTCCGCAGTACCGACTGAGAAACAGACACAATAATTTCTCTGGTTACTCCATTTCCTAGTATCCACTTCAGAGCTGCAGTGACTGCCTCCATCTCCATCATCATGCTATCTTTTCCTTCACTTTAGTTGAAAACCTGCATCTAGATCTTTCACCCTGTCAAACAGAACCATCAGTGTACACCATTGCATCAAGTGCCAAGTGCTCCATTAAAAAAAAAAAGACAGGTTTAGTAGTAAATGCCCAATACCAGAGAGACATGACAAGGATCCTTCACTTTCTTTTCTAACTACCATTCAAACATTTTGTTACTACTGTTTGTAAGATGTTTAATACCATTTGTAACATTGTTGCTGCCTGCAAGCAACCCTGTGTTGTCCTTCCAGCATTTGACATCATGCTTCAGGAGCTGCGTGACCCTGAAGGAGGCAGGCAGGTCACCTTCATCACCTGGAGTGGGCAGTACAATCAGAAACATAAAGTCCATCATACACAACCTCATGTAAAGGTCACTTTCAGTATGTAATGTCTAAATGTAATTCTATAGAAAAACTTCCCCTCTATTCCTTCTCTCTCTTCTGCTTCTTCATCTTCTGTTTGCTCCATTCATCAGTTTTCCTCTGTCTTCTATTCCTCATCTTTACCTCCCCCCCCCCCCCCTTCTTTCTTTTCTTTGTGTTTTATTCCTTCTCCAGCTATCCCCCCCCATCATTTTTTTTGTTGGTGCTTGTTATGGAGCAGGTGTTTGTCACAACTCTCAAATCCTTTTGGTCACCTGATATTTTGGTGTTTCCTTTGTTGCTATTTGTTACCCAGCTTTCTAAGCCGCCCCCCCCCCCCCCCAATGCTATGCTCCACAACTAGGGTGTTCGCATTCATTTTACAGATCTGGCTTATCTGTGTGCATACTATTGGTTTCTTGACAGATGTAGTCTAACTTTGAAGAAAACACGGACTTTATTTTTATGCAGCCCATTCGATGATCTTATAATCTTTTTAAATTGTTATCTGTATTCTTAATCTTCTTTTAAATCTTATTCTAAAGTGGGCTCTGTGGCTAAGTCGATGTGAACGCTTCATAATGCCGGGGTACCGGATTCGATCCCAGCTGCGGGCCATAGGCCTTGCGTTGGTTTCGACAGTGGTATCAGGGACCAGACCGTCCAGAAAACAATGGCAAACTACTGGACGTAAATTGCCTAGAAAAACCACACAACAGCCAGGGGCTGATGGGGTTGGTTCTGCAACGTCCTATAAAGGATACCCAACTAACCTTTTTATTCTTCTTCTTCATCTTAACGATCAGCAACTGTAAATTCATTCTAAAAGTTATGTTTGTTCATCTTCTTCTGGTCTTGCTATATAACTCAAGTTTTGCATGCTAAAATGTATTCATATCCTGACCTTCTAAATAAATGTTTGCATTAACTAAGCATCTTGTAAACTGGTCATTATATACATGTTGGAAAGGTGACAATGATGGGAAACTTAATGTTGAATTAAGAATCGACGTCAAAGCCCTCGGGAAACTTCCGATAGTGTTCCGTCCCCTATCTTCAGCAGTGAGCGAAGAGTTCCAATTCCATTGGTACCAGTAACAGTTTGATTGTATATCCGGGTGGCCTTTGCCCTGAATGCTGAGCATCTGCCCGATCCCCTGGTAACTCCCTGCAGCGCCACTCTTCATAGTCCGTAATTATATATTAGGGGAAATGGACAGCTGGAAGTGTCAGGTTTGCGACTTCTCGAATTGAAAAGACTATTGTGAAAAAATCTTAGTCAGATTTAGTTTTTGCTTTATTCAGTGCAGGCAGGCTTAATTTAATGAGATCCATGGCAACCAATCTCCACGGTGGAGATGGGAACTGAATGAACTGAAAGCTGCATGGAGACTTGACAGTGAAGAACTCTACAGGGTACAGGGCATTCAACAATGACATACAAACATGGTTACTTACCCTTTTCAGAAGCAAGACCGATGGAACCATTCATCCTCGTCATATCCACCATCTTGAGTGTGTTATGGTTCTCGCTGTCCTCAACCATCTCATAAAAGTTGTCCAGCTTCTGCAGGAACTCGGTCACTGCGTCCGTCTGCGGCATCGTCTCTACAATCTGCTCCCGATAAAACAGCTCAGGTAAAACACAATGTGATCATAACAATTGTGTGCTCTCTCCACAATGGAAGGTGGCTGCAGTGGTTATGTGCATCCACTGATGTCTCTGGGAAAACATCATGGTGAGGCCCAAACCTTTCTACTGCGTGACATTTATATCACCGTTCAAAAGCCATAAAAAAAGTTTTACAAATTAAAACAATTTTTTTTTTTCAAACCACTTTCCTACAAAGTTGATAACTGTGTGAAAAATATGTATGCATGTGATTGGAACTGTGATTGGTGGTCACAACACAAACAACCTTCATTATGCTGATGACACCATCTTGACGGCGAGAAGTCAGAAAGAACTATGGAACTGATAGAAATGGTAGTGGCAGAAAGTGACAGAATGGGCCTCTGCTTGAATAATGGGAAGACAGAAGTAATGCTAATATCAAAGCAAGGAATAGTGCCTAAATGTATAATAAAAGTCAAGGGTGTTATTTTAGGAAAAATCTGAAATTTTAGTACCTGGGCACATGGATAACATCCAACAAAAGATGTATCCCAGAGGTAAAGAACTGAACAGGACAGGCTAAAACAGTATTCTATAAATAAAGAACATTTAATGCAACAAATCCATGTCATTGGAGGTCGGGAACAGAATTCTCTCATGCTATATAGAGCCAGTTTGAACATATGGCTGCAAATCCTGGACAATTTATAAACAAGTGAAACAATGACTTTGAGGCCTCGAATATTTGATTTTACAGAAGCATGCCATAAACTCCTATAGTAGACAAAAGTAGCAACCCAGATGTTTTGAAAGAGACAAGAGCTCGAAGGTAACTTATCCCAAACATTAGAAAGAGACAGTTATAATTTATTTTTTGGGGATATGTTATGAGAAGAAGAAAACAGGAACACAACCACTGGAAAGATCCGTGAGAAAAGAGACGAAGGAAGACAAAGCGAGAAGATTCTTGACAGTCTTCTGTCATGGCATGGAGGGGTGTCAGCACATGAACTGATTCATACTGTTTAAGATTGCAGATCGTGGAGAGGTTTGATCACCCATGCCAGTCGACAAGGCACTTGATGATGAGGATGATGTATGCTCCAAGAAGGTGTGGTATATATTAATTAGGTGGGACATATTTCGCTAAGTGGTATATGTCAGGTAAGTAAGGGTATGCCAACAAAGTGTGGCATACTTCAGGTTAGTAAGGGTATGCCAACGAGGTGTGGCATATGTCAGGTAGGTGTGACATATGTCTGGTAGGTGTGGCATGTCAAATAAATATGGTTTATTTCACATAATGTGTGACGTACGGTCAGGTAAGTGCACCAAATGTAAGGTATGTGTGGCATACATCATCTAAGTGTAACATTATGTGTTGGCTGTTGAGATAATAACTGATATCACAGCACTTGGGACATTCCCATCAGCGCTCCGTCCTCACTTTCAGCAGGGAGTGAAGAGTTCCAATTCTGATGTGGTGCCAGTAGCTGTTTGATTATATGTCCTTTTCGTTTTGTTCCTCTGAGTGTAGAGGTGTCCAACAGATCCCTGGTCACTCCCAGCTGTACAATTCTCTCTAGACAATACTGACCTATTTGTACCTCCAGTGTTCACTTGCTCCCAAACGGCCTTGACCACCTCAAGCTTGATGTGCACAAATTCACCATTCATTGGTGTTGAACCAGTCAATCTGTCTACCTGCTGATTTCCCAACACTCATGTATGCCCCAGATAAATATATCCAAAGAAGCAAGGGACCTCTGAAGTGATGTCTGCCACTGTGCGTGCCCTGTCTCCACCTTTCTTAACATGCTTACAATCACAACATGTGTGTGCAGCTGGTTCTTAAGCAGCAAAAAGCTGCAGTGACTGCCTCCACCTCCATTCTTAAACTAGATGTTGCAGAACCCTACGCTTGACTTTGTTGCACTAAGCATCTCTCATTCATTTTCCAATGAACACTATAACACTTCTTTTGCCTTTCAACATACAGCTATCCTTTCCTTTTAGATAATCACATCAACTGGGTATGAGTTATCATGAATCAATTGTTATATTTCTGATTCATCAGTACCTGCTGGCCAATGCCTGCACTCCCAGCCACGTGTGATTGGAACCATACACAAGTCTGCTTTCTGCTCAGAGACTTTGACCCACTCTTATCCTCTCCCATTTTCCCCCCCGAGTGTAACGTGCGACAAGGTGCAGCACATGAAGGTGTGGCTAAGCTAGGTAAGTATGGCATATGTTTGACAAGTGTCATATATTTCAAGTAAGCTTAACATAAGTCAGTCAACAGGGAATCCCCACTTAGTGGCAGGCATAAAGTACCTTGTATACACACAAAATAACTTAATGATGAAAGCTGTTAATAATAATATAAATCAGCGTTCTCAGATACTAAGAAAACATGCATATTTTAGCATAGCCAGATGGTCAATAATCTGCGTGTGACGCTGATTTAAGCAAAATCTTAATGCTAAAAATGTGTAGTGGCAGGCATAGAAGTTCACACAAAAATAAAATTAATGATGAAAGCAATAATAATATAAAGAGCATGTGCTTATCATCTCACGCTGCAAAATCAGTATTTTGTTTCTAGCATGCCTCACGATGCAAATTTTGTTTCTAGCTGCCGAGAAAATGGCTGGGTTGATCCCAAATCTGCTCAAAGAAGCTTAAAGACTGATGATTCTGTTTCTTGTATCTGAAGGGTGTCAATTAGTGGACATCCACTTAAAAATTCAGGCAGCGTACAGTAAAAAAAATGCATGCCAAAGACAACAGTTACAGACTAGGCATGAATGTTTCAGAAAGGACAGTCTACGATAGACCTTCCACAGCCAGGCAAAGTGCATATTGTTGCAGCAGGGTAAAACTGTCGCCAAAACTTATCTTCTTCTTCTTCTTCAGCGATCTCTGGTCATGCGCATAATCCACTGTGGGTCATAAACTGGGATGTCTTTTCAAGGTCTCTTAGGTTTCCCCAAAGCTTAGTTGTCAGTTCTACTGGGTGTTGCCATATGTCGCTCCGCAGCTCCGCCAGGAGAGGACAGTCTTGCAGGACATGTTCTGGAGTCTGTTCAGCACGAAGGCACTGGCAGAGAGCTGTTTGGCTCATACCTAATTTATGAGAGTGTTTATTGAGTCTGCAGTGTCCAGTGCATAAGCGAAAAACTGTGACTTGGTCTGTTCTGTTCAAGTGTTTCAGGAAATCTTTTCCGTAGTTATAACCAAGTGTTGGTTTTCCAATCTGTTTCTGATTTTCTCTTAATGAGAGTTTTGACTTCTAGAAAAAGATAGTGGCTGGTAGGTCTGTGTTTGTTACTGCCTTCCTTGGCTAAAGCATCTGCGCTTTCATTGCCTTTGATGCCACAGTGAGACGGAATCCACTGCAAGTGATTTCTGCCTTATTTGACAACATAGCAAGTTCCTGTGTTAGACTTTCTAGTGTGCTGTCAGTAGGTTGGACTCTAGGGTCTGTATAGCTGACAGTGAGTCAGTCAGAAAAAACTATCCTGCCTGCGGTAATTTGCAGATTGTTTCATGTACTGCGCTGCCTGCCATCAAAAGGGCTGAGAGCTCTGCCTTGTAGTTAGAGCAAGTTCGTCCGGTGGGGCTGCTAGGGACACAGTAGTGGCATCTGGGTGTTTTATTGTAAACACCTGCCCCACCATTCGTAGTTGCCTCTTTTTGCTGATCCATCTGTGTAGATTCTTGTCCAGCTGTCCTGTGGGAACATGTTGTTGAGGTGTTCCATTGTGAGTGCTTTCTTCACTAAAGCGGGCTCAGCATCTTTGTTTCCCAGGTTCGGGATGGATGTTGACACATTGAGTGTCAATAATTCGGAGTCCCAGAGATCGAAAGATAACTCTTCAGGTGTACATTGTTGGTTAAGTAGTGAAGAGAATGACTTTCCAAATTCCTTAGTTAGATGGTTTAGGCTTGTGCGCTTTATTCGGTTTTTTGTCATGACTGCCAATTTTTCATGTAATGGGTGGTTTAGCATTCTCTTCATTTTTTCAGCATGTAGAATTGCTTTTGTCCTTCTTTCTTTCTTCTAAGGGGATGATGTTGGCTGGCCTTTTCCATTTCTACAATAGGTGTAGATTTTATGGCTCCCAGAATTGTACGCAGACTTCTATTTTGCGTTTTGTCTAGTATCTGTTTATTGGAATGGGCTGCTGTTATCCATGACGATGATGCGTATTCGAGAGTTGGTCTGACTGTGCCGGTGTATACCTGCTTCAAGATACACCTGTCTGCTCCCCAAGTGGTGCCTGCCAATTTTTTCATCACACCTTGTTTTCTCAAAGCTTTTTTGTTAGTTTCTAGTATGTGATGTTTCCATGTTAGACGACTGTCAAGCTTGACTCCCAGGAAGGTTGGAGTATTGGAGCGTGGAACAGCATCATTGTTGAATTTTAATGTAAACTTTTCCTCCTTTGTAGACAATGAGAAGAGTGTTGCTACAGTTTTGGCCAAAACTTATGAAGCCATAAAGATGAACCATTCTTGGAGCATATGTTCACTAGCAAGGGAATTCGATGTGCCAAGTGGGACAGTTCAAAATGTTGTTCATAAGAAACTGCAAAAATCTGAAGATGTGTTCACTGTGGGTGCCACAGATGTTGACCAACCACCAAAAGAAGGGACATGTGAATTCAGTGAGCAGCCACAATCCTCTTCTTTTTTTTTTTTAAAGATGGAAAAGAAAGATGGAAAAAGAAAAAAAAGAAAGAAGGAAGGAAGGAAGGAAGGAAGGAAGGAAAGAAAGAAAGAAAGAAAGAAAGAAAGAAAGAAAGAAAGAAAGAAAGAAAGAAAGAAAGAAAGAAAGAAAGAATAAGAAAGAAAGAAAAACAAACCAACAAAGAAGGATGACAAAAAAACAGGAGAGAAAGGAAGAAAACAAGAATTAAAAAAAAATAAAGATTGAAAATGAGAAGGAAGACATATTATATAAAAGACATATATACTGAAATATGAGGTTAAATACCATGCATAGCAGTGGGTCAGGGAAAGGATGAAGACTAAGAAGATACAGGAGCTGAAGGGTGGGGGGAAACAATATTTGCAAATGGATGTCGAAGGCATCAGTGGATGAAACAAACAGGTTTAAAAATGCTAATAATGTAAGAATCTACAGACAGTGTGATGCAGGCTAGGGAAAATTTGGAACAAAGCATAACAATACATCAGGAAGAACAGCAGGGGGGACAAGACAGGGCTGACACAATCTGCAGCCGGAGCTCATCTACAAGAAAATGTTGCTGTGGATTTTCTTAGATTTACAGCTTCTGAAGTTATTCTTTTTGTTCCTTAAAATAACCTCCTCTGTTTTAGTCAAATTATGTGACTATTTCTGTACATATAATCTGACTTGCTTGTTTTTTTTCTTCTCTCTCTCTCTCTCTCTCTCTCTCTCTCTCTCTCTCTCTCTCTCTCTCTCTCTCTCTCTCTCCCCCCCTTTTTTTTGTTTTGTTTTAAACATCCTCTTTATACTGGTTTAACCCTCCTCCCTGTAAAAATCTGGAAAAAAATTACCTTTTTTCTTCTAATTTTATTAAACAAGAAAAACATCCTTGTATTGAAGAAGAAATGTTAGTTTTACTCAGTTTTCATAAAAGTATAGGAGGTTGAAAATTATACAATTGAGCAGCGGTGAAAAAAATAAAAAAATAAAAATTTGTTAGCGTGGTAAAACGACTAGAAAAAATAGAAACATTTTGAGGGAGTTAACAGACGTGATGTTTTATCACGCTAACGAATTTTTTTATTTTTTATTTTTATTTTGTCATCAATAAATAGATATGAAGCAAAGGACTGCTTTAATTCTTTTTGACTATGAAACCATTTTTTTTTTCAAACTGATAGCCATGTGCAGTAAAGGGATGTCATGTCACAACGACATCACAATGGGAAACAACTTTTTCTTTCACTCAAAATATCTTAATAGTAAATATAAACATATCCACCAAATCTACACACTATTCAGCTATAACTAGCACCAAAGCGGTTATATAGGCATAATGGCCGCTTCCCAAAAATGTCATACTGACAAAAAATTGTAAATGTCAGGAAAACTACTCTTGGGACAACAAGGTCAAAAATAAGTTACTGATGTACAAAAAAAAAAAAAAGCAAAACAGAAAAAAAAGAGGAAGAGCTATATATCTGAAATCCTGCACTCAAAAATCAATTTGCAATTTGAGAACCCCCCCCCCCCCCCCCCCCCCCCCCCATAATATACTTTTGTTTAAACGTGCTGCTTAAAATCAAACCACCCCATGCCCCTCTAGTGGTCATTCTAAAACTGGAGGCTTGGCAATGTGCATACCTGCCGTGGGTAGAATTTCTCCCGCACATGAATGCTCACTTTTTTCAGTTCATCCACGTATGACAGCATGGCTTCTTCTTGCTGCATGTCTCCTAAATTTGACCAGGCTTCCCTGAAAGTGTTCAGCAATGACAGATAACATGATGAAATTACATTACATTTGGCTTCCAACATTACTACACAACCTTTCAAGGTTTTTAGGTTGGAAGGAAAGTTGTGAAGCAAGATTCTGGCTGTTTTACCTGGACCCCAAGTAGTCTATGGGGGTCTTGGCAGCAACCAGAGCAATAATATGGCTGGAGACTGACTTTTACCTGCATATGATTTCTCAGTGACTCAACGAGTACACTCAGAAAGTTAGAGACAGACTAGGTCCAAAGACAGTGTTTGGAGTCTCTGAGGCATTCAGCACTGACAAACATCAGTTTCCTTTTCATGAAAGAGCATGCAGGTGTGCAGGGAAATGAGCAAGCTGATAGACTTACAGGTTAGGCTACTGTGAAGAGTAGACAAGCCACAAACCAGGCTGGTATGCTGAACGCTCTATGAGAAGTAAGATGTTTGCAAGAACCAAGTGACTGTGAATCTGCTGCAAGGACAGCAAGATAAAAGGGTGTGACCAGACAGGAGCACTAGGCAGGAAGCCAAAGAAGAATAAGAAACCAACACAGAATGGGTGTCGTCAGCCGCTACACACTGTGGGATTCACTTTGGAGGGATATGAGCACTTTTGGACTAAATGATCCGATGTGAAATAAGGATAATCTGTCAACTAACTAACAATATATCTTCTTCTTTTCTCTACTCCTGGAATGCCGTTTGGGCAAGAAGAGATCTCTGGAACATGCCTTTTTGTTGGCTTCACTGAAAGTACTTTTCAGTGTCTCTGATATTTCTGCAATCCATCTTCTGCGTGGTTGTTCTCTGGCTCTGTTACTATATATAACCTTACATAAAAATGGGTCAAAGAGACTTTTCACACCTCTGGCATATTAGGCGTATGTTACTAGACATATTGTGCTCCCCCAAGTCATACATGATGGATGATGTGGTCAACATCAAGCAGGCCATTTTCACCAGGTAAAGGATAAGATCTGCCTCAATTCAAATTCAAACCACTTGCCTTCGGGGCAGCATGGAAGCTTTGTATAAAGGCCCCTTTCCTCACCTTTAGGTATATTGGGCAAATAGGGTTAGACCTATATTTTATATACCAACTGACACATTTTTTATTTATTTATATCATCATCATCAAGTGCCTTGCCGACTGGTGTGGGCGATCATGCCTCTTCACAATCTGCAACTGTGTGTATCAATTTGTGTGTTGTCACCCTTCCATGACATGACAAAAAGTTGTCAAGAATTTTCTTGCATTGTCTTCCTCTGTCTCTTTCCACAGATCTTTCCAGTGGTCACAATGTGTTCCATTTTCCCTCTTCTCATAAAATGACCAAACAAATGATGACTGTGTCTTTCTGATGTTTGTGATAAGTTGTCTTTGAGCCCTCGACTCTTTCACAACATTTGGGCTGCTTTTATTAGCTGTCCAAGGAATTCTAAGGATTCTTTTGTAAAACCAAGCTCTAAGGCTTCAAGAAATTGTTTGGCTTGTTTATTATTGTCCAGGATTCAAAGCCGTATGTTATGTTTGTTTTGTTTGTTTTAGTATCCAGAAGCCATGAGTTGTTAACCCTTAGGCTCGGTATTATGGATATCGCAACCTTTCGGCCTTGATTCCATTTTAAATACCGTAAATCTGGGAGAAATGTGGCTTTTCTGCCCACCCCCGGGATTGAGCCCGGACCACAAGGAGTTCGTCACCCGCTCACCGCGCAATCCGGTTTAGCCAACTACGCTAGAGAGACGGGCAAAGCCGTATGTTAAAACTGGCTCTATACAAACATGCAAGAATTCTTTTCCTAACCTCCACTGACACGGATTTATTGCACATTTTATTTACAAAATTTTAGACACATACGAAAGGGAGTAAGCAATTAACATGCAGAGAATTTAAGGAATACATTCCTAAAATTACAAGGTGACTTATACCATGACCCTGTCGATATGGGACCCTTTGAGGCTAAAGGAAAATTATGATGTCATTATGACTTTAAAACACCCCTTGCTATTTTTAGTAAACATAATTATAGCCAGCCCTTTTAAACACTGGGAAGGTGCAAACAGAACCAATGTTATTAACTGAGCTTGTCTGGGACTGCCCAATGCAGCAATGCCTGTTGAACTTCTTTGCAGTACTTTATAATAAACGGCAATGGTGGATTATCAATGTTTCAAGGTAAAAGGGTTAAACTTCTCTAATCTAACTGTGCGGCTTGAGAGGAGGATCGTGTCATCTGTGTATCTAAGTTCTAGGCCTGGATTAGTGACAATACTGAGTGGATCAAAACTGTCACAGATCTCATCCATTCTGACATTGCTTATAATACTTTCTGTATAAATAATGAACAGGTATTAGAAAACGATGCACCGACAACCCGGTCGCCCACTGGCTGGCCGGTGGACGACTTTGTTGGGGATCGTGACAGTATTTGGGTCTGTCTCGTGTGATCGCATTAACACTGCAAGAGTTTGTTTTAGACATACTTGGTGGTGAGCAATGCTAAGTCATTTTATACAGCGCACATAACCTAGTCATAATTATAACCTAAAGCTGCCATTGGGGGATACTGGTTAAACATGACCTTTATTTTTATTTTTTAAGCAAAGCAACAGAATAGACAGTGATGTGAATAAGCGTGGATTCACCCTTTTGCCCATGTAAGGTTTAAAAACACAGGTCACAACCCTGTTGAAATTCTATATAACAATCCTAAATACAGAATACATTTACTACTACCTAAGAGGCAAGGAACCAACTGTCTGCATACAAATCTTCTTCTTCGCATTCACCAGCTGTACACTCTGGCGGAAAGTTCTGGTTGCTCGTCCACTAGTGAACTGCAGTCCTGCTCCAGAACCTGAGTGTTGCATGTGCATCAGTTTTACAGATCTCATTCTCTTGAATACAGACTGTTGGTTCCTTGCCTCTGCGGCAGATGCACTCTGACTTCAAAGGAAGCTCCCCAATTAGTCAACTCTTACGACATGCTTTTGGGGAGGCAGTGGGTCTATTCATACAAATAAGCCAGATCTGCTGAAGGGATGTGCACGCAAAACTCAAGTTCTGGAAAAAAGACTAAAGACTAGAAGTGGACAAACAACCAGAAACTTTCCACCAGAGTTTACAGCTGGTGAATGCAAAGACTTGATAAATAAAAAGCAGACTGAAATGCTAACCCACCATTTCCTTTTGCTGACCAGATCCCAGAATGCTGGCTTGGGTGACGAGCAGGGACCTTCTGTTGCTTGCTTAAAGTAACTGTAAAACTTTAACATCAGATCATTTGACGGTTGGAAGGATCCTGAACAAAAGAAAAGGCAACAAGATATTTTGGGTTTCGTTAATGATAACTTCTCTGTTTGACATTATCAGTCACCATACACTGCAGGAGATACTGAAGTAAGTAAATAAATTTCACCCCACCAGGACATCACACAGAGCGATAAACACCAGGTGACACAAAGTGCCACCACGCGGATAAGGATCCCCCATGGAGAGATCCCAGAAACTGAGTTCAGCCTGCAGGCTATTTCGCGGCTTCAAAATAACGACCATCAATCTAATAAGGAGAGATGCTGAAGAAGGGATCTGAGCACTTATGGGCTGGTGAGTCATGAAAATGATTGGTCGATCAACTAACTTAACTTACACAAATATTGTTTAACAGGGGCTCAAGGCTAATCATTTAGTAAAGTGTTCTTCAACTCATAGGCCACGGCCCACTGTAGGTCCAGAAAAGTCTAGGTGGAACACCACAAAAGGTTTGCTTAAATCATGTTTATGTTTATTCGATGGATCAACATCATGGCACATGGGAGTAACTCATAAGTGCTCCGTTCTACCTCTAACTCAAGCCTGTCTGAAGAATCTCAGCACAACTGACCACATCACCCATGGCACATGGGAGTAACTCGTAAGTGCTCCGTTCTACCTCTAACTCAAGCCTGAGTCTGAAGAATCTCAGCACAACTGACCACATCACCCATGGCACATGGGAGTAACTCATAAGTGCTCCGTTCTACCTCTAACTCAAGCCTGTCTGAAGAATCTCAGCACAACTGACCACATCACCCATGGCACATGGGAGTAACTCATAAGTGCTCCGTTCTACCTCTAACTCAAGCCTGTCTGAAGAATCTCAGCACAACTGACCACATCACCCATGGCACATGGGAGTAACTCATAAGTGCTCCGTTCTACCTCTAACTCAAGCCTGAGTCTGAAGAATCTCAGCACAACTGACCACATCACCCATCAAGCAGCAACTGGTCTAAAATAATTTCAGCCTTGCATCAGATTCCAGAAACAACACCAGCACACACACAAAAGTCCTTACTGTACTTTACTTTTTTCTTTATTTTTACACATGATTTGTATTTGTAATTTATTAATCTTTTTTTTTTTTTTTTGGGTGGGGGGGGGGGGGGGGGGGGGTTTGGCTTTTTTAAATGTACAAATGCGTCCTAGACTGTGGCTTATTTAAACTGCCTTTCTTTTAATTTCCAGATGCTGAAGAACTTGTAACATTCACAACATGCAACACAGGTCCTTCAAATTGTGAGCCTTGTCTGAGAATGCTAGGCATAAGATCCACTACCCTGTCAGTGGGAGTCATCAATTTTAATTTGCAAACATTCAGTAAACAGCATAAGACCTACCAGGTCTGCTTTAACCAGAGGTGAATGTAAGAATCTCGGATCAACTCTGACAACAGCTACAAAATAAATTGTTTATTTTAGTTGGTGGTTCTCCCCCTGGAAGTTTCAAAACGGCGTGACTAGAGTCACTACAACATCACAGTAATTGGGGCAGACCTCAAACTAGTTGATATATTTTAGTAGTTTAAGTTCTTGGGTACCCTGATAACATCAGATTGAAGATGTATAAAAGAAGTTAAATGAAGAATACATTATGTAATCTGTCTTTGTCAAATGAGACTTGATTAAAGACTTTTTAAAAGCTATATAAATCCTATCTTGATATATGGAAGTGAATCATGGACAGTTGGTAGATTAGTGAAAAATTATTCGGAAGCTGCGGTGATGTGGTTTTATAGATGGATGATGAGATTACCCTAGACAGATGAAAAGAGTAAGGAAGATTTCTTGAAAGAAACTGACCCACCAACAGAACTTATCGCCCAAATCAGAAAGAGATAATCTACATTATTTGGTCGTGTTAGGAGAAGGAGAAAACTGGAGTACATCGTGACAGTAGGAAAGTTGGAAGTGAAGAGAGACGGAGGGAGATCAAGAGATAAGATGGACAGTCTGACATCATGGCAGGGAAGATCATCTGTGTCAGCTGAGTGAAAGTACACGAAACAGAAGGTACACATCACTACCAACGTGACACTGCATCAACTCTAAGAAGAAGAAAGAGTCACTACCTGGTGTGTCTGACCTCATCATGAACAGTCTGTCAAAGAAGCCCCACTACTGTGAAGCTTCCTACTCATACACTTGCCGGACCTACAATCACTGGTGAATTTCTACATGTTTCATCCCTTCACTGATAAAACAATAGAAAATAGAGCATTGCTCCTCTTTGGAACATGTAAAAAGTGGGGTGGTCATCTTCAAACTGTCATTATGACATCAACATTTATGTCTGCAGCGTGATGTCACATGATTAACACTCTTGGTTTTCTTTGCAATAACGGTCGCTACTTGGACGGCGAAGGTCGCTACTTGGACGGCGACGGCCGCTTAGTCGGAGTTCAGTCCCCTGGCTGCAGTGCAATTACGGAGTGGACAAGGCACGAATCACAAAACACAGTGAGTCTAACATGGCGTCTAGACCACGCGCTGCGACTCACATTAGCCTAACCCTAACCCAAACCCTACCCCTAATTGTGTCATTTGTGTCGTTCCCTCTTTTCCACTCCCTAATTGCACTGCAGCCAGGGGACTGAACTCCAACTAAGCGGCCGTCGCCGTCCAACTAGCGACCGTTATTGCAAGGAGAGCCACACTCTTGACATCCTTAACAACAACAATCATAATATGTTACAAGACAAAGACACTGTTATTGCAATTTCTATCACATTTTTAAGATTTTCAATTGAAGCACCTCGCTTGGTATGGCCCTGTGTTATTAATCTTTGCTTCTTATTAGAGCTCCATGGACGTTGCAGTATTGCATTACAGCGATAATAATATGAGTTATTTAGTTACTGCTTTCATGAATGAATCCACTGGCCGGCTGTCTCCAGTCTGAGTGGAGTCTGAGACTCAGTCTCAGTCTAGACACTGTCACTAACTATGAAGTATGAAACCAAAACAACTGACAACGTTCAGTCAAGGCACAATAACTGAATGCTGAATTATGAATCGACATCATAGCACTCGAGACACTCGCATAAGCGCTCCGTCCCCATCTTCAACAGCAAGCGAAGATTTCCAACTAACTCCGATGGTATCATTAACTGTACGAATGTAGTCTGTTAGATCCCCTGTAACTGACTCACTGCAGCGTCCATAACATGGAAATCGTCTTCAAGAAATTTTCCAGTCCGTAAAAAAAAAAAAAAGAAGAAGAAGAAGAAGAAGAACCGGGCATATCACTGATTCAATCTCAAACAAAACTCGTTTAAAAGAGATATAAAAACTCACCATTTTTCGGCAAACCCCTAATTACTTTCACAGCAGCCTCAAATTTATCCTTTGGACTCGTCGCCATGTTTGTTTGTAGTTTTGATTGGGGTGTCACGTGATACGGGTGTCTTCTTGGATCTGCAGCCTGCAGAAATGGTTCGGTTTGTTCATAAATAGTCCATGATTCCCATTCGTGTGTTCCCCGTGTGGGTTTCAGGGCTCTATTACACAGAAAACAAGAATATACCCACTGCCTACCCAAAAGCATGTCGTAAGAGTCGACTGATTGGGAGCTTCCTTCGAAGTCAGAGTGCATCGGCCTGGCACGCAAGGAACCAACAGTCTGCTAACAAATTATTAAGATCTGTCAAACGGATGCACACGCAACACTCAGATTCTAGATCAGGACTGCAGTCCAGAAGTGGACGAACATCCAGAACTTTCCGCCAGAGTTTACAGCTGGTGAATGCGAAGAAGAAGAAGACATTCGTATGTATATGACATGCGAGAATGACTTTCCTAACATCCAGTGACAAGGTGTTATTGTAGCTCAGCAGCTACTGTACGGATTTATAACGCAGTAACCTAAAAGAACTTGGAAAGAAGTTGACTCGCGAAGAGAACTGCTAGCCCACCTCAGAAGGATGTTGATGTTGAGTTAGGAATCGACATCACAGCACTCGGGACACCGCGCTACGTCTCCATTTTCAGCAGCAAGCGAAGAGCTCCAGTTCTGATGGTACGGGTAAATTTCTGATTGTTTATCAGTCTCACCCTTTCCTTGCGTGTTGAGCGCCGGCCAGATCCCCTGGTAACTTTTTCTTCCCACAGACCGTAGTGATCTGTTTGTGCCAGCTAGTCTATTTGACTGCTTATTTCTTAACACACCGGCATTACCTGAAAAAAACATCAAAATAACACCAACTAACCGGGACATTTGAAATAGCGCTTGTCCCAATGCACGGAACATACCTGTCTCCACCTTTCTGAACATGCTCTGTGAGCCAGTTACAATCACAGCCTGTGTGTACAGCTGATTCTCCCAAATGAGAAGGAAATCATCTTCATTTTTTGGTCACACCATGACAAGGAGACAGTTAGAGTATGTCTTGACGGTGGGAAACTTGGAGGGGAAAGGTGGCTGAGGGAGCCCCAGAAAGACGATGTTGGATTAAACAGTATGACATAATCCAAATCGCGGAGAAGATCGTCTTTGTCAGAACTGATTACAAGTAAATCAGAACTTGGCCCCGTTGCGTTGTAGTTTACACCTAGGCTGCAATATGTGAGTCCGTCAGCCCAGTATAGACGATTTCCTCACCACTCTATCCCAATTAGTCGCCTTTTACGAATGCTTCTATATGTGGTTTTTTTTTTTTTTGGGGGGGGGGGGGGGGGGGGGGGGGGGGAATTCAGGACTGAATTAAACATTAAACACACAAAGCACGTGCATCAGTATTATTCTGCTTCTTCTTCTTTTGTCAAAATTTGCTTGTGCCGCTAGGCGTCGCAGTCTATCAGATGATCGGCAACCGAGCCAGGGCGCGCTCAGTCGCTTCATATGCCGTGATGTTATGAAGTCTCAAGTTGTCCGTGACTCCTTCAATCCATCTTCTTCTTGGTCTTCCCCTGCCTCTTGGTGTCTCGATTTTCATGTTGTATGCTCTTGATGCTGGCATCGTTGGTTCCATTCTCACTAGGTGACCAAACCATTTCATTCTTTGCTTCTCAATAAATTTAACCCTGATTGTTGTTACGTTTGATGAATTTTCTAATCTCATATATTGTTTCTAGAGCAGATTTTTGTGAACTCTTAAATCCACTGCCGATTTGCTGGACCTGACACAGATTCATCCTTAAGAGAACACTGAAAAACACGTAAATCACATCGAGAACACTGAAAAATCTTATTCTGCTAAACAGCTAAAAACCTGGAAACCCCGTTCAAGCGAATAACCATACGGCACAATTTCGGTAAACTGGTTACCAAGTAAATTCCTGGTAGTAAACGCAGTCGGCATTGTGTTGAGCATCATCCAGCAAGTACCGATTAGTCTGTAGCCTGGCGGCAACAAGCTATTAATTGTAGTTTGATTGCACATGTAGAAAATGTGGCTGTTCAAGTAGACGGTATCTATTTTAAAAAAGGCATTTTACTGCGCTGTGCAATCTCTCTCTCTGTGTGTGTGTGTGTGTGTGTGTGTGTGTCTCGTGTGCCGGTCAGTTGCTTTGTTGTTGTGTGGCTTCAGGTGGTCCGCAGCATGGATGCGGCAGACTGGGCTGAGCGAGAGATGGGTTTGTCTGGCTGGCTTTATTTCTATGGTACGTTTTCAATAGTTAAACTGTGTAGAGTTAAATATATCAGTGTGTATCATCGCTCGGAGATATCTGATTTTACGTGGCTGGAAGCAAATTTTCACTTTTGTTAGATTAGGTGCTTAGCACGTGTGTGGGTCTATTCCTCCATTCCGTTATATCATGTGCAGTCTGTTCAATATAATGGATGGAATCCAGTCCAGCAGCTTTGTCCTGTCTCATCAGCGTTCGTCTTAGGGTTTCTTTTGGCCATCCTCGAAACCCTAATTCCTTAATTTTCCATTGTAATGCCTGTTTGGAGATTCTCGGCTGGTTTCTGTTCAGTATGTGTCCAGTGTAGTACCATCTTCTCTGTCTTAGAACTGTTGAGACCTGTAGTTGCCCAGATATTTCTCTTATTTCTTCAGTCCTTTTGAATTCATTCAATTTTTTCCACCATTATCCTCAGACATTTGTTTTTGAGTGCATTTAACTTTCCTTCCATGTATTTAGTGGTTCTCCAACTTTCACTTGCATATGTTGAAACTGAAAAAACATTAGAATTGAATGTAGGTAATTTGGTTATGAAACTATAAAATTTACAGTTCTATATTTTGTTCAAGCTATTAAAAGCTGCCGATGCCTCGCCCTGCGTCTCATAATTTACATAATTACTTGACAGCAGTATTCTTTATATCCTCCTCATGTCGCTGTTGACACATAAGGCATACACAGGTGATCTCCATTGCTGCCGGTCTGCTGCTTTGCTGCCCATTGTATCCTATGTCAGTTTACATTCCTTCATTTTCCGTTCTATTATCTTTCTCCTGGTTTCCTTACGTCGTCCACGCCTCCTTTCCCCATCTCTGTCCACAGGAGAGCTGTTTTTGCCAAAGTATCACAAGGCATTCTGCAAAACATGACCGGGCCATCTCCCTCGTCTTACTTTGATAACACTTGCCAGTGACGCACATTTTGTTTTCCTCCCCAGTTATTCATTTGTGATCTTGTTTGGCCAAAATATTCGTAGAATTCTCTATTTTTTTTTTTTTTTTTGAAAAGTCTCAAGTTTATGTGTAATCCCCGATGTCATTTTCTTACATTCACTGTTGTATAATAACATTCCTTAAATGTTGCTCTTGTATATTCTGAGTTTTCTCTTCAAACGAAATCCCTTCGATTTCCATGTATTCTTAAACATGGCAAATGCTCGCTTTGCTTTGTTTATTCTTGATGTTACATCCTTTTCAAAATCTCTATTATTATTACTATAATAAAATTGCACCATTTGCTTGAAGCTCTAGTAGTGTAAAACTGTCTTTGACTTTTACTCAACTACCACAAAGTTAAAGGGATAAAGACACAATGTAAAAGATTCAGAAATTGAGGTAGAAGAATTTAAAGAATATGTTGGTAGGAAGCTTTGATGAAGAATACATGCCATTTAGTTGAAGGCGTAGGCTCCAACAGTGGTGAAGGAAACAAGAGGAGAAAGCCTTGTCCAAAGGATATCACCCTTTGACAATCTTTGCTTCAGATAAACAACCTGTACAGAACTTTTGATGACGTCATGTGAAACATAACAAAAGAAGGTTGGAGTATTGGATTTCTGAATATGCGATTCTGAAATGAGTGTAGCGTTTATACTTCACCCTCTGTCGACGTTTAAAGAGATCAACACAAACTGATACCACGCATGGTTGCTCTCTATATACATCTGCCAAATTTTTCGCAACTTGCATTGCTCTATTGCCTTCACAAAACAGCCCGATTTAGTTCCGTGTTTCATGAGTGTATATCTTACGCACCTGGTGTTTCATCTTGACATTCATTTATATACAAACATTTTTGCTGACCGGCCGTTAGGTTAATTAAGCAACGAATATTAACAACTCCTAGATAGGTGCACTCCGACTTTGAAAGAAACTCTCCTAATTAGTCGATTTCAACGATTGCTTTGTTAGAATGGTCCTTTCGCCCCCCCCCCCCCCCTTCCCCCTCCTCATCACAATGGGACCCCGGAATCGACACAGAGACTTCGTTTTATCCTGTGCAACTATTCGACTATCATGGATATAGTTTAGCATAGTATCTTTAGCCTCTCTCGTCAACGTTTACCTAATGGTTTCTTTCGGGAGTCATATCCTCATTCCATTCGTTTCCCATTTAAGTGCATCTTTGGTGATTTTCTGCTCTCTATAATTAGGATGTGCCAAATATATCCCCGTCTTCTGTGTCTGGTCGCTATTGATACAAACAGTTGTCGAGACATTTTTTTTCGTTTCTTGGAAACGTTTCTGAATCTAACCATTTAACTTGTTTTGTTACTTCTAAAATGAAAGTGAATCAGTCATAATTTCAATTTTAATATTCGTTTATTCAGTGACAAATTGTCTTATAAAACTAAAGAAGACTTCACAAATATCACCACGAAACGATGCTGACAACATTTTTATAAAATCCATGCATGTTCTCCGGTCTAGCGGCTAGAAGCTCAGCTGCGGATCTGAAGGTCGTGGGTTCGGTTCCTGGCGAGGGCCCGATTTTTAAAAATGTCTTTGGCTTCCAGGTCGACCAAGCCTTGAGTGGGTATCAGGTATAGTCCTAGGAAGTCAAGGGGGCCGGCGTGATGCAGACCACTTAATCCACCAAGTGCCGTTTGGTTTATAGAATATAGGTCTAGCCCTATATACCCAATAAGCCTGAGAGGCGTGGAAAAAGGTCCTTTACTTTACTATACATTTTCTCCAACCGAATCATAAAACTTAAACATAGGATTGCAGGACATAC